ACAGTCCCTCATAAGGCCATGCTTAAAATTCCCGCGTATGCGGGCTTCGTAGTCCTCCGACTTCCTTCCAAATCTGGGGCCATATGGCGGTGTTTCCGCTGTCTCGGGGTCAAGAGGGATGCAAGAACACCTTGCAGAAGGGGGGCCGATTTTCGGTCCCTCTCTTTACGAGAGTCGGGGCCAGGCACGCCGCGTGCGGTTTCGGTTTCGAGTGAGCTGCGGGCCTGGTGTCGGTTACGGTCTGGCTGCGGTTTCTGTTACGCATCGCATTGGTTGCCGTTACAGCGGCAGAAACCGAGTTTCCGTTACGGTCGAAATGGTTCCCGTTACACCCCGCACCCCAGAATTTCTGCAGACCTTGAGCCACGTGTATCAACCCAAAGCATGAACCACCTTAAACCTTAAACCACAGATTTCTGCACTGAGACTCCAAGACCCCAAGTCCTTAAATCAACCCTGGATCTTAAGACCTAGAGGCCAATGGGTGTTTTGAACATACAGGGCCCCAATATAGACCCCGATACAGCTTCATCCTTATTCTAGGGACTTAAGGCACTCTGGAAAAGGGGCCCCTCATAGTTGGAATTCCTCCAAATCCTACACCCGCACCGGTTCGCAGGTAGTGGTCATCGGCGGAGGGGTCATTGGCCTGACGACGGCCCTTCGACTGCTAGAGGAGACAAGGATTGAGTGCAAGGTGGGATAGGATGCATATGCTATCGTCAACACGCGGTTTAGGGTTTAGGGTTCAGGAACCATTAAGGGTGGACAAAGGGGTCCCTCTTGTAGTTCAGTATAGTCCCTAATATAGTGCTTATAAGGAACCCGTGTCCGTTAGTTACCTGGTTAATAGTGGCTGTAGCTCATGGGGGTTGGTCTGAAGGTCCTATGATGAAATTAGTTAGTCAGTGTTCCTAAAACTCTAACAAGGAAAATTTTAAGAGAACGTATATTCACAACGATCATTTTGGGAACTCACAATTTTTGGATCAACTACCATATAGCTTGGGTAGCAGAGCATGTCTGGGACTCGGATCCCTCTGGTAAATTGTTGGACGACCCTAAGCCTGCCTGAAACCTTGAAACCCCGAATCTGCAGACCCCCAAAACACTGAGCCCTTAAACCCCAAACCTCTAAACTTTAGGCCCTTAGACCTCTAAACCCCTTAAGGTTCTTAGACCACCAAAACCCCCAGGTGAGAATTCTTGCGAAGAGCTTTTCAGCCACCTGCTCGCGCGCTGCTGGAGCTTGGTGGCTCGCCTAGAGCCTGAGCTCTCTGTGTAGTCACC